GACCCGACCCGACCCATTTTCCTCCCCTACCCATAACGTAGGTTTTAAAATCTCTTTTTCGGAAAGCATTCATGTCAGAGATATCCATGCCAAATTTTAGAATCTCAATTTTATGAAAGCGAGGCATATCCATCATTAAAGAAAGAGAGATATCCATGCAAATTTTATAACAAGTAGGGCATGCATGGAGGAAAGGTGGCGTATAAACGGTACACCTTTCCTAAATAAGATTTAGGAAACTGCTTGAGAGAACCATAACCAGGATTTATAAAACTAGGATGATCAGTACACGGATTTACATACATTGCATTGCATAACTTTCTTGAAGGGAGCAGAACAAGAAACAGAGAAGAAAAAAGCTCTCTCTGAACCATGTCTTTCACCATAGCCATGGCTCTCTCCCTCCTCTTCCTCTCTTTATTAGACCCTACAATCGCTAGGGACCCCTTCTCTAGTAAGGCAGCCTCAGAGCCATCGAAGATACTCAAGGATGCATGCAACCACACAGAGTATTACGACTTCTGTGTGAACACGATAAGCTTGGACCCAAGCAGCCGCACGGCCGATCTGGTTGGACTCGTTGGCATAGCTGTAAAATTTTCTGTTGACAATACAACAAGCACAAGTAATTATGTACAGAAGTTGTGGCGTGAGTCCTGGAACCAGACAAACCTTCACATGGTCCTCGACAGTTGTAATGACGACTACATTTCAGCACTTGGGGATTTGCAAAACACAGCAGATGAATTTTATGTTCATAAGGACTACACAGGGGCGGTTGAGATTATGGGCAAATGCATGCTTATGCCAATGAGCTGTGAGGATGCCAACAGGTCTCTGCATATGTCCCTTAGTCACCTTTCAGACATAAATATGTACCTCGACAAGCTCTTGCACGTTGGGTTAGCCCTACTTCAACTCCTCACCTGATCCATCATTTTCTTTCCTTTCCTTCGTGTGCTGTTGAGTAAATCACCATTGCAGCAATAAAATATTCTCCCTAGCATTGCTTAGGTTCATTATTTTTTCTGTTTTGCACAGCAAGCTTTTGAATGCTGGATGGACCAAGTTTTGAGATCAGGACTGATCTTTTTTTTTTGTTTTTCTGGCAACGTGCAGTCCAAACATGCCTTAGAAATTGCACTCAAATGAGATAGAGATTGCAACTCACAAATCTGAAAGAGTATAATAGGATTATGATAAGCACATTCAAACTACACAAACAAATTAGCTATAACTTCAAATATGTTTCTCTGAGACATGTGAGAAACTAGTCACATGAAGCCATACATGCTTAATTTCCGGCCAAAACGTTGCCCTTCTTAGTTGAAAAGAGACAATAAGGAAATGTGAATTAAGCATGTATGGCTCCGTGTGACTAGTTTTCCTGGTTAATTGAAAAGCAAAAATGATAAGGAAATGTGAATGTTACAGACTTCACCCACATTTGGTGAACTTCTGCCCAAGAATCCGAAGATTTATGATATTAACTTTTTAAAGAAAGAACTGGAAGAATCACTGAGACAGTGAAACTCTGCCAAGTCACAGTCGTAAGGCTTCTAGACATAAAATTCAAGAAAAGGGTTCCATGTTCTAGAATTTGTAAGGACTAACTCGAGTTTATTGGCCTGGAACAAAAACAGTCTCAAGTTCAAAAGTTATACCCTCACCAGGCAATTAGTGGTAGACTTCATCAGTTCAGTTAGGGGCCTAAATGGATGATGCAATTTGGATTTCAGAAAATTTGCCAAGGAAGGCAACGGAAAATATGAATAAAGCCCAGAAGTTAGGAAACAGCAATAGAATTTGGATTTCAGCAAATTAAGCATCTTTGATATTAAAAATATAAACAGATTATAACATTTCAAAAAAAATATAAAGCAGATAAATATAGGAAACAAAAGCAGTACATAACAAACCAAAGTAGATTTGGCATCAGAAGTTTAAAGCGTGAAATCGGATGTAGACTGCACTAAGTGACTAATTATAATTGCTAGTGGAACAAGCGTGAGCTTATAAGAGAATTTCTCATTCCATAACAATGTTAATCGTATCATGGACACATGCTTCATTAAGAAAAAAAAAACCATGATTAAAATAGAGAAACATGTACAGGTGCCAGAACACTGCAACTTTACAATCCCCAAAACTTCACATCATTCATTCAGCAATGTGAACGGAAAAGTAATAAGTAATGAGGGAGAAAACAATAGCCTAATTAAAACAAATTATTCTTGAGAAGGATCTCACATAGCCATTGACTAAAAGAATTAGCCCTCTCTCATTTCCGAGTAATATAACAGGAAAACATTATATTCCATGGCATCATGACACGCACCCCAAAGAGAACCCAGAAATGCCCTTTGTTAATTCTGTCATTCAAACTGCAAGCATATGGAATACATCTTCAGTGGAGTGCCTCAAATTAATCTGGCAAATACAAATACAATGGGTACAAAATAAAAAATCTGTTAATGGATCATCTACGAGGAGTTGACTAATAAATAAATAAGAGACAAATATATTCAAATAAAGAATTAGAGAGATACAATCTATGAATCTTCTAAAATCTAAATTACTACCTATGTGAGAGGACAACTAGATAAACATACAGGCCTGAAAATCACAACATTGAAATAGAAAAACTAGACAATGTAAAACCGCATGAGTTGCATCCTAGGATTTTATATTTGACCCACACGGAAGGAAGGGCAAAGGCTCATTCCAGCAGTATTATTTACAGTAATTCCTAATCAACACGTGGATACGTGGAAATGAAATGAGTAACATGTATATACTAAAAAATTCCTGCATCATTT